GCTTAGTCGTATGTAGAACCGTTATAATATTCTTTTATCTACTTTACTATAGCCGTTCAAATGGATTCGTTTCTACATCTGCCTATATATATGCCGTTATATTCTTAGTTCAGTTTAGAATACCTCTTTCCTTAAAGCTACTACAATTATATTTCAATTTATACTAATTATAGAAACTAACAGATTTTCTGTTATACTTAGAAGCTAACGCGAGAGCTTTAATATATTCTAGAAGACAACCCTTCTAATTATACTATTACTGAATCGCTACCCCCGACTTAATCTACTACTAGACTAGAAAATGTATTCAAATAGGACCACATTCGATAATCGGTAGCTCTATCGCTAGAATTAATTTCTAAGGAATTCTAGAAGTAGAAGATACAACCAGATAGCTCTAAGCTCGATATATAAGTCTAATATAGATATCTCTCTTATATTAATACTAAATCATATAGCAGAGGGCTATTATTAAGATAGTAAAGGGGCTACTCCTTAATAAACTAATATATATACTAGTTATTAGTAGGAAGTTGGAATATAGGACAAAAAGGCAAGATAGGTATAGCAGAGTGGGGGGTATCATGGTTTATTTTCATTCGTAGTCAGCGGTCCTACTAGAAGATAATAAGGCATTATTAGGCTAAATGGTTATAATAAAAAGTTCTATTAACGTACCGGCCGCTACTATTCATACTATATAGGGAGTATATTTATTGAGAGTTATTATCGATTTCTTATAGCATATAAAAACCGGTAATCAAATGGTATATACTAACTGTTTGTACCTACTATATAGGATATACTAGTCGGCCAGCCGTTTACCGGTAAAGCAGACTAGTGGTACCCATCTTACTGAGTTTAGGTAGCTTCCTCTGTTTAACTGGCCTAGGCGTATAACTAGTCCATCCATCTTTAGGCGTACTTTTTAGTTCAGGGAATGACGCCTGCATTCAGCGCATAGCATATACCTTGCGGCTTTTAAGAGTCCTATTACAGGTGAATAACCGGTAGGGAGATCTTAGAACATCTTGAGACATATCGCTCCATCTATCCGTGAATCCTTAGACACAGGATTTTAATAACAGGCTCCATTATCTTCAACCCATCGGCACTTTAAATAATATATGGGATCGCCAATAATTTGGCCGAGGAGTGACTGAAGATAGTCAGAGCTCCAGTACATATTTGACTGCTGATTTGCAACTGTCGGCAAGAATGCGGTCCATCAAGGGGCAATGTACCCGCCGAACAATTTCCTATTGTAGTAGCACATCTGCTATGTAGGGCTCAAATGCAGGAGAGACTCTGCCTCCCACCCAAGAGGATGGAGCTTGAACGTGGGATTATAACCCTTAAACAGTGATCTCATCATCTCAATTTGGGGTTCATCGGAAGCAGGCACAGAGCATGACTTCAGAATGTCAATACAGTACACGGCAAGCTAGCACCTTAGTTTCCATACTCACATGCGTACGCTTGGCTAAGTTGCTACCATCATTACAGGAGGGTGCCGGGTATTATTCCGCCTTTGATCGGTATCCGCGAATGGTTCGAAGAAGAGAGAGCAAGTATTATCGTTTTATGACTCTATACATTTTTATTGCCGGGCTCGTGAGATTGAAGAGTAGTTGTACACCGCAGATTTCTACATACCGGCTTAGACTTTTATGCAGAGGTTTTCGCAATGACAACATTTCCCAGCTGGTGCAATCAACTTTTCTCATCGCTAGAAAGTGGACCGCCTAAGGCGCAAAATAGTGCGCGCTGGGGTTTGTTTGCTAAATCGTTCTATAGGAGAGTGCTCTCGGATGCATTGAGGAAATGCTGTATATGACCAAGATTTACATCTAAACGCTCCTCGATTAGCCTTCAACGCTCGCTAAAGTCTTAATCACTCTTAACCAGCTCTTCTTAACCACTCTTCTTAACCGCTCTTCTTAACCACTCTTCTTAACCACTCTTCTTAACCACTCCTCTTAACCACTCATCTTAACCACCCTTCTTAACCACTCTTTACTACAGCCAAAATAAAGAGAATTGCTAACTCGCGATATTTGGTTTTCTAGAATACCTAAGCAAATGGTCGCCGTTTTTGTCTATAATGATAATGGTATTTCTAAGTTTATAACCCATAGGACCTATCCTTGGCAAGAGACCAACTATACAGGTATATCTGTTTTATTCTTTAAGGTTACCAGAAGGACCGCGTGACCTCTAATCGCCAAAGCCATAGGTATATATAGACTTGATATATAGATAGAGCGAAAAATAGAGTAATTATCATTCCCTCTAAACTAAAAGGAACTTACTAACTACTAGTATCGTAGATACTTTATTCAAGTAGGACCATACCTATATAGTAGGAGTTTTCATTTAGAAGTAGAAAGCAGGACCTTAAGAGTAATAGATATCATTAAGACAGTAAACCCTCTATATAATAGCCTTACCCACCATATAGTATCTAGAAAATCTAAACTTATACCGATAAGGCCGGTCTAGAACCCTATAAAACCATTAAGTAGTCGTATAGTTCGATAATTACCTATCCCCTAAAAGCTAATATAAAAGGCCAAAGCGATTTAGTGCCTTAAGTACCATATACTTATACTATAGGAGTAATTTAGTGATTACTATATAGCAGTGTATCCTTTCTAGCTTAGGTAGTATTAGCACAACCCTATAGCACTACTAATCCCCTAGACTAGGGATAAGCTCTTTAACTCTATTCTTAGTAGCTATTACTAGAGAATAACGAGCAGTAGGTAATAGGCCATAGTGAAAAATCTACTACTACAGTATTATATTATACCCAGAGAACCCAATCGCTATATATATACTTAAAGAGTAATATAGTATTAATTAAAATATCTTTCTATAAAGTAGCTAGGCCCTAAAAGTTTTATAGATAAACTATAATATACCTATAGTTACATTCCTTAGTAATAGTATATACCATTTAGCTATTCGAATCTTTTAGTCGCTTTTTTATACTATACCTATTAGCTAATAGCTATATAACCTTATAATACCTACTAGCTATAGCCTATTAGAAAGAAGTTCTCCCCTAGTTGTCTACTATATTTATATTTATATTAGGATATTCTAATAATATTTTGATAATTTTAACCCTACCTAGAGCTAATATAAATATTAGTATAGTAAAGGAAAAGTAATAGTTTTAGTTATTAATTAGCAAAGATTTTTCGGAACTAACTAGGAGATAGATAATATCGATATACTCTATAATTATTATAACCTTAAGTAGTAATATTCCTAATAGACTTATTTAGTTAATATTGGCTAAATTCTATAAGAGAAATTTAACCGCTATAAACTATCCTATATAATATATTAACTAGAGTAGTAGAGATATATTAGTAAATTAAGGGCTCTTATAAAGCCCTAGCTATTAGAAGAGGACTTTAATTAAGTCTAAGGAGCTATTCGCAATAGCCTTTACTAAAGGTATCTAGCCTAGCTTATCGGCACAATTGAAATCTAGATTTATTTACTATAAGAGGAATTTAACTAATTTTATATTAGAATTACTTACTATATACTATATTATAGTATATCTATTCTTATCTTAGTAATTAAGGTTAATATATAGACTTAAAAGTAAGGCTTTAATAATAAGCAGCCTTTTTTTAATAGGGAGGAAACGGCTATATCCTTTAATAACTAGAAGTAACAGAGTTTCCTATCGATAGTTAAAATAGTTAACATTAACTCAAGGATTTTATATAAGTATTTAGATTACTCTATAGTCGCTAATCTCTATTACTAGGTATAGTGGTATTTAGCTATAATAGTCGTAGATATTAATATTTATTCACTTATTAGATAAAAGAAGTTAGAAGATATAAGTTTAGCGATAGGTTAGTGTAATTAAAATAGGTATAATCCTATCTAGTGATTAGTTATTAAGATTAATATTCACTATATTAAGGAGCCGTTCGATAATACTAACGCTTCTATATAGAATAGCGATCGAGAAAGTACTTTCTCCTAAAGTATTATACTATATAATATTTACTAAATAATAGCTTAAGAGTAAACTAATAGCTTCTAAGTACCGTAACTTTATAGCTAATATAAGCGGTATAAGGCTAGAAAACTTTTAGTTAATATCTGCCTTTTCCTAACCTAGAAAGTATTAGATAATACCTAAGCTTCTATATTTAATTGCCTAATAAATTAGCGGGATATCTTAAAAGTCTATATAATTAATAAGGCTCTTACTAAAGACGATATAGGATTTCCAAGATATAAGATATAGACTTCGAAGGTCTTTCTTATCGATAGATTTACCAATCTATAGAAGTAGTTCTAGTAGAAGTCCTAAAAGCGGTATCTCAGCAGATTATATGAATGTATAGGTAACGACTACCTATACAGATAATAATAAAAGGAGGGCTCAGAGTAATAATTTAGAGATCAAGTTTGCTACTACAAGTGGTTGGCGGAGGAGCTTAGGAGGCGCATTTCTTTATGGTACTGGCTTCTATTTAACTATTTTTGAGGGCATATTATTGCAGCCAGTACACTAAATAACGATATCACCGACACAGAGTTACCTAAAAGTATTGAGTTACCAGCTCCTAGGATTATACTACTTGCTCCTGGGATCCTGCGACTGGTTTCTAGGAGCCCTAAGAATCCCGGGAGACAGCTATAGTGTTCCCAGGAAACACTCACCGATTCCTAGGAGTTATGCATCGTACCTGAGACTCTAATATAACGGACATACGAAAACCGAGTCACCTAACTCCTACGATCTCTGTTTCTTGTCTCAGGGCCAAGTGGCGCCATCGTGACCAACATACAAAGGTCAAGCGCCTCGCCAGCCATATTACAACCTCCTCCAACCCACAAGTGTACCATCTTCCAGTTACATCCAATATTAGCATTTCTCGAGCATTCAACTTTGCTCTAATCTTTTAACGGCTCCCACTTCCACGGATTCTATCCTATCATTTTCGTTCAAGAAACAAACAATGGGCCAATACTGGCTAGTGGTTTGCCCGTCCAATCGCGAGTACACAACACAGTCATTTGGAGGGAAGTTATCAGAGTTGCTCTTTTCGTCGTGGTCCAACATACTACGTGACCTGATTGAAAACGAGTGGGCTGGCACTCAGCTCATCTGTATTGGGGATTACTTAAATCCAGACGACCTCCCTGCCACGATTCAACAAGACAAGTTCCACCTGAGTTCCGCTGAGAGCGGTGCAACATCCGAGCCCCTCCGCTACGATGTCGTTAAGAAAACGTTTGGATTTTGGTCTTACGAAGAAGAGAAAGCAGCGACTCTCACGGTCATGGAAAAACCTTCCAATCCCAAAAGTCGAGTCCTGAGGAACTTAACTACCGGTAAATATTTCTTTGAGGACGCGTTGCCATTTAGAATCACCATTGGCCACATAGTTCTGATGAGTATCTGTTGGTCGTCGGAAAGTTCAATAGGCATTACGGGCGGAGCATATCTGGCCAAGGGAGTCTGGGCTGGCCACAAGTTCGACATTGTAGATGCCGACATGGTGGAACATATGAACAGACAATGGGAAGATGTCACCGAGGACGTCCTCGATGAGGTTCAGGCTCTGTGGCCGAGCGATTTCGGACATAACTCGGAAACTGAATGGAGAGTTTAACACGTCCTGGGCAAGAAGCTATGAAATCACTTGACGTAAAAGATATCCGGGGATATAATCCTAGGCTACCAAACAAATTGCCAATAAGAATATCTTTGGACACCCTTCCCGTGATACTGTACGAACAGGTGTGGCCTGTGCGACCTTCAAATCCCTGAGTTTCTCTAAGCACAACGCTTCAATCGATTGCCTACTCGAATTTACTCGTCATAACTAGCCGAGGGAATGTATGGAAAATTATTATTCGAACGATAAGAGTAGAAGTTCATTCAGTAGTAAGGCTTTAAATTTAGACAAGAAGTTTCAATTCGCCTGGATAGAGTGCTCGACTGAGTGCACCTTTAACTTGCTTCATAGGGTCATGTTTCACAGAGAGTAACCCAACCAGCAATAATCCCTGCGCTGAATTCGTCTGTTCCGAATTCTGGAGTATTAACCCCACCTTCAGGTAGGACAAGAAGGCCGTCTCCGGGCACCCAGTGAGGTTCCTGGGTACTAATAAGTTCCTGGGGCCGCACAGTAGCCTCCTGGCAGTGCATGTTATCATCCTAGGACGAGCAAGTTTCTACGTAACCACGTTAAATTAGTGGTCGACCCACCCTTTTTTCAAGGATTTTGTCCGCAGACCAACTATAGAATTTGCAATTCCGTTTTAAACAAGTGACTGAAGTTGAAGGTTGCTTTCGATATGAGTGCTATGAGGTTTGATCTAGGCAACGTTTTCTTTATAAGGCTATTTTATACTCATATATATAACATCATTGAGAAGTTACAAGGATGATTGAAATAGCAGATCTCAGAAGAAATACATATCAAAACATACATGGTACGTTACATTACCTCTTCATAATTACTTACTAAGTTCTCTTCTTCATCTATGGCGGTGCGGACCATATAACTGTAATGTAACTATTTGTTTCATTGTAACAAGCTGGCTGTACTAAGTTTTCGCAAGAACAGCCAAGAGTTGCTCGTGTTATTAGCCCCAAACGGTCTTCTTTGCCCAGTAAAGCTATGTTCCGGATAGATCTAATGAAATGCCACTGGAAATAAATCGATTATAATATAAAGGTATATCCGCGAGCCCACCTAAAAAGACACTTATCATGCTTCAGATTTACTACGCTTAAAGTATAGGGTTTTGCCCCTTGAGTTTAATATACCAAATTTACTCCTTATAGACAAGTATAGTTTAGCAGGTATCTAAGCGATCCATTTATTAAATAATCCCTTATTCTCGCACAGCCAAAGAGTTCCAATAGTGCGATAAGGAGTCTAGGGTTTAAAGGTCGGCAGAGGGTCGGACTACCAGCTGATAGTAAATTTATACAGATAAAGTAAAATTCCAGTATATATAAATATTATTAACTAAAGAAATAATTTAGTTACCGTTCCAATTAGCCCAAGATCTAGTATATCTCTAAGAAGGCTTCAATTCCATCCATACCTATCGCAGTAACGCCATATTAATATCCGCGAAATAAGGCCTAATCTATCTTAGGGTCAAATTCTTCCTCTGTAGGTCATATAACTTCTATTTATTCTTTGCGTTAAGCCTCTTAGGGGGGTTATAGCTATCTAGACTACCTAAATAATACTAAAGCGACTGGGTTTGTGCCTTAGCTCTAGTAAGGGGTCTATAAGGGCTACTAGGAGGGACTTAGTTATTATAAGGCAGATTTTACTTACTATCTTCCTATAAAGGTAGATTACTATCACAGCTAAATTCTATGGTAATAGCTTAGTCATAAGTAGGTAAAGAGGTAAGATATTCTTACAAATTTTTCCTCTCCTTATTAGCTTTAGTAATAGTATAGTATCTAGAAGGCTAACTAGTAAAGCTTAGAGTAGGAGGTTGCGGCTATTTTATACTACTAATAGAAGTTACCTTATATTCTTTATATAGGGAAATAAGTGATTCTAGCTAAATAGTAGCTTAATCATAAGATTAGTGTATATTATCACTATTAAATTTAGGCAGCTCGAGGATTTAAGGATTAATAGCCTTAAGGCTAAGAGTTATTAGCCCTAAGCTAAGTAAGGAAACTAACTCTAAGAAGTATGGTTCTACTAAGTTACTCCTATTACTAATACTATATTTATTATAAATACTTTATCCTAAGTATTATTCTAGATTCCCTTTAATAGATAGGAGTAAGGCTAGGATAGGAAAAGAAGACCCTTCTAGTATATAGTCCTTATACTTATAACTTAGATATAAGTAATAGTAAAATCGAGATTTCTTAGAATATCCCTTTTATAGACCTATTAAAGATATTTAGGCTTCTAACTTATAAGTACACTTTCTCTTACTAGGTAGCTTTAGATTTTACTATATAGTTTCCTTAAGCCTATATATATTATATAAGTAAAGTTAGAGGTTATACTTATTATAGAAGCTTTAGGAATATCTATATATTAGCTTTATCTAATAATACCTAATTTTAGCTAAGTACTGTCTTTTAATATATTCCCTTAGATTATTACTTTATAGCTAGTATTATAAATACTTTTCTATAGAGAGATCGGGGTCCTATAAATAGAAGGGGTAGTAGCTAAGACAGATAATAGTATAACGATAGATAATTACTTTATAGTATTAGGCTTTCTAGGACTAGAGATAGGTATTATAATAATCCCGCTATTAACTTAATAAATACTAGTCTATATATTTATAGTAAAACTGTATCTCTAACTCTAATATTTAAAGGCTAAATACTTTCTTATACCGAATATATCTATAAATATAAGCACTTCTATTATATTTTCTTAGGCTAGTAGAGTTAGTATCCACTAGGTTATTATTAGGTTAGGGAGCTTACCTTATAATATTAATTTAATAACCTTTTATAGGATAGAGGCCTTATACTAGGCTTTTATTTAGGAGATATACTATATTAAAATCACAGAGATACTATATCTATAGATCTTCGATAAAGAGAAGTTTTTTATTAAAGGAAAGCTCTTTAGTAGAGGATATAGCTGTTATAATTCGTATAACCTTAGGTATAATTAGTATTTAAGTATATATATAAATATTATTTTCCGAATATATTAGCTCTTCTTTTCTTTAATTAATAACTTTCCGGTCTCTTTTCTCCTATACCTACTGAATTTAATATTACTTAAGTTTAAAAAGGCGATATTAAATAAGTGCCTTTCTATATTCTAACTTCTTATTCTTAAGGTAATTCTTATTATAGTTCTATATAAATAAATCGATCTAAGCTCTTATTTCTACTATATCTAGTTTTTCTAAAATACTCTCTTTAATCTCTACTAGTAACTTACCTAGTAAGCTATATTTATAATATTAAATATAACCTTAGAAGTACTCGATATAGTTAGACTAGTCTTCCTTATCTAGAATAGCTCCTACTATATCTATAGAAGAATAGTAGGCTTAATAATACTTTAGAAAAGTATTTAGCCCCTAATATACTAGTATCTAACTAATAGGTATAGAGCCGTTTCTCTCTATAATAAAACTTAGTATTAAGATCTCTCCCTTATATCTATTATATTTATATAGTATAGGGGGCTTACTTTCGACTTTTTTCCTAAGGTTTTATTATATATAATAGATTATTACTAATTTACTAAAGTACCCTATAGTAGTAAAAATTTGATATAGGTAAGAACAAAATTTTTATTTTATTAGAGGTATCTCCTAAGGCCCGTCCACTATAATATATCTAAGAACTAGTTTATCCAAGTATTCTTCCTTCTATTATAACCGAATCTTACTATTTAAAAGATTAAACTATACTAGATTATCTATAGTATCTACCCTATAAATAGTATTATATACTAATATAAGGGAGAGAAGAATATAGCCTAATATAAATTGCGGCCTATTTCTATCCTAAATACTAATTCTAAATCTAGAAGTACTAATTAGTAAAGTCCTATATATTTAATAAATATACTACTATATCCTTCTAACTTATACTATATATTTTTTATATTAATAATTTTTAAGCTATTTCTAATCTACCTTCTAACCTACTACCTAATAACCTATAGATAAAGGAAATAGAACTAACTTAATATACTAGAATAAAGATTAATATTATATAATATCGCTAGAGTAAAGATACCTTACTTTATATCGAAGACCTCTTTTATATTTATCCTTACTAGAGGGTATAAAAGCTCTAACTCTTACTCTAGTAAAGAGATACAGCTAGAGAGTAAATAAGATAATAACTTTAAGTAGTCCTAGAATAAATGTTTAGTAGTTAGTCTACTATAAAGATAAGACTATTCTTAAAAAATCTTACTTTATAAAGTTAAGTTTCTCTTTCTTTTAACCTATAACGATACTATCTATAGTTAAATTTTTTTAATCTACTATATCTAGGTAAGTTTAAGATAATCTTAGAGAGGAAGTTATAAATAAACCAACTATTTTTATTTCCTTTCGATTATCTAGGATAATTTTAGTTCTTATAAATTATTTAAATCTACTAAAGAATTTCTCGGTATATATACTTACAGTTCTTACTGTAGGTAGACTATTATCATTTAGTCGCCCTTAAATAGAATTTACGTACTAGTAAATATATACTTTAATTATCTTATATATTAGAGTAGGAGAACTAAGGGAAGTTTTATAATATTTATACCTATTCTCTAGATCTATAGTAAACCTAAAGGAAGGTTAGAATATATAAATAGGAAAGGATTACTACTTAGATACTATATAACTTACTCGAGCTAAAGGTTTATAGTTTCTCAGTATAATTCGTTAGTTTTAGGGAGCCTTTTATCTTTCTCCTAAATTAAGTCCTCCTCTTTATAGGTTCTAGGGGTATAACCATTCTTTTCCTACTATAGATAGTACCTCTCTTTCACAAGTTTATCGCACTTAGTAAAAAAATCCTTTCGGCCTATAATTAATATAAAAGACGCTTAGATAGAAGATTTGTTAATTATTATATACTAATACCACTATATGGTTTACTTTTATATCTAAGATCTTAAGCTCGAGCCGCTCTAAAGAAGAAAGATATAAGTAATATTATAAAATAGATAGGTTCTCTACTCCGTCCTATACCCTTTAGTCATGATATATCTCCTTGATAAGATATAGTACTCCAAAAATTGAGGGTAGTAATAATGCTATTAACGAACTAACTATTATAGTATAGATAACCCTATAGGGGCTAATCCCTTCTAGGTATAGTCTGCGGTAGGCTGAGTGCATCAGTATTACTCACTGATTAGATACTGAGTATCACTGAGTAATCAGGGAGCACCTAATGAGCACTTACTGAGCACTTACTGAGCATCAGTCATTCTGTACGTGACTGATCTGAGCATGATCACTGATCTGAGCCTGTACTGACGTCTACTCAGTGAGCCTGAGCCTAAGCACCCTCATAAAAGCGGCGGCAGATCAAATAGGAAATCCCCATACGCCAGGGATAATCCGGTACGTATAGGTGCATACGTGAAGTTGACAATTGAAGTGCTGGTACCGTTGGGGGTGGTAACGCTCACTCGTACGGTGCCGGCTGTGTTAGCTGGCACTACGACGGAGACAGTCGTTGCGGTGGACGAAGTGGGAACGGCGGTCACAGTCCCAAATGTGACGGTGGTGGCTCCAGCAAGATTGGTTCCTGAAATTATCGCTGTTATACCACCGGTAGTCGGCCCCGAAGTGGGGTTGATCCTGGAGATTGTAGGCAAGGACATTTCGTGTCGCTAGTATCGGTGCTGGGTTTCAAAGATTGATTGTTATAAATCACTGTTTGTTCGACTTGATCAGTTTTCAAACCTGGAGAAGGAGTTGCCGTGCTTTAAGTATGGCTGTTCTCAGCCCAAGTCGCATTATTGAGGCCATTGTCACAAGATATGGCGTCGTTCGATAGTCACAAGGTAGCGTCAATTGTTTGTGGTCATATGCATTCTTGACGATCCTCAAGGTTGCTTGAGGTGTGTGCAAGGTGGTTCAAGTGTTGATCAGGTGGAGGTATTCAGAGAGATGTGGGTTCCGCAGCATCGACTATTCCATCTAGGCCCATTCGACTTGTCTTGGTATGTTGGTCGAATGGTGCACAGAATAGAAAGTGTTATGTAATTGTTTGCCACTTTGAGGTCAAGAATTGTTTGATATCACTATTGGTACGGAGATTTGCGTAGCGGACATCAATGAGGCGTATGCGTAGTGGTATAGGTGCCTGCCATGCAAAAAAAAAACCCCTTTTTTAGGTAGTATTGATGCTTGAATGCCTGAATTAGGTACTATTACAGAGGCCTTGATGGGCTAGGTCTGTTAGTTGATCCTCTCAAATATGAAAATGAAACTTTTAATACTATATAAATTCTTGTATCACCTGGCAAGTTTTAATATAGACTAGGGGCCGGGCCTAGTTAATCCGTACCGAAAATAGAGTAAACAACCCAAAAAGTGGTGATACATAAATCTGTATGGCGTCAAAAGCTTCATTTTGACATATGCGGTGTAAGACGCGGGCTTGGTTCTAGCGATAATCAGGCATTCAGGCATCAATACTACCTAAAACAGGCACCTATAGCTCTCTCTCTCTCGGGCACGGACACCACCACAGCCACACGATATCTTGTGATCTTTCCCCATGTTTAACCCCAGGATGGTCAATATTCCCCGTTCATTTTGTCTTATTGTCCGCTTTTCTGGATTGTGTATACGCACTAATGTGTTGTGACTCTGAAGTCTTTTCAACTGCTTGGTCTCAGAGAGATTGGTGAAACTGCTATCCCAAAAATACCCCGATATACCTCCTGGTCTAGTCGACCTGTTTTCCAAGCGAATGACCGCGCCAAAAGGTCATTTTTACCTTTCGGGATCATTTCTCCTCCCGATTGAAGAGCAAATACAGTTCTTGTCCTAGTTGTTTGAAGGTACCTTGTATCAATGCCTCCACACGCCCTCCAGTATAAATAACGGATCAGTATCAAAGGATATCTCAAGAGACGAAGAAACCCACGTAATCACAAGCGCAGGCACGAATGTAGTCGATGCGAAACATCTTGTTCCTCAAGAAAATGATGAAAGGATTACCATAGTCCAGAAGAAGAAGCTTAGAGAGGAGAAATATCTTGGTTGGGCGGAAGTGAACAAACGATTCAGTCAGCTGGACACTGCAAGGTTACATAGTGTTAGTACGATGTTTCACGGTGTCTATATAAGCTTAGATTTCGATACTTTTGGCGAAATTATAGTTCAGTCTTCGATCTTTCTTTTGACCCGTAGCATTCTAGATCTTCCACATGTTCAAGTTATATATCTTGTAATAGTAATTTATTTTCTTTATTATATGACCCATAAAATCAATCGCCCTAAAGTGATTCGCTGAACTTATTTAGCCGAAATTAGCCTCAGAAAATCTCCTTGATAGCCAAAAAAATACGAGATTTAGACCTACTTGAAGGTAGCTTCTCAAGTCTACTTTCGCTTCTATTGCGATTTATGCCGAGATCTGCTTAAGTTAGTGAAACCAGCGCCTATGAATCTAATCTTTAGAGTGCTGTGTCACTTCAAGGTTACATAGTGTTAGTCCGACATTTCACGATGATGTGGTTTTGAATAGTAATAGTGTAACGTGGTGGTACTATAAATCCATAAAAGGACATCAACCGTCAAGCAAAATCTTGGTCCCAGATCTAGTTGTCTTGTCGTTGGCTACCTTCGTGTATTCCAATGCGTCTGGTTATTCTTACCATCCTGTGTGCTGTAGCAAAAGCTGCCTTTTCTACAGCACCTAAAGACAATCTCAATGCCCTGCCTACCGGATTATCTGATAGTGCACCATCCGGCTCTTCCCCTGGCCAATTTGATGGAATAGATATCCAAATCGACACACCAAAATTCAATTTATCAAGCGATGACCTCCTGGTTCAGCTTGCCAGAGACTCGAATGAAGTTAGCGGAGATTCTGACCCTAACTTCGAGGCAACCCAGTTCTATATGTGCTGTCAGCAAACCAATACCTCGGCCGTCATCGATAACTACTATCCACCGTATGCGTGTATATTCGGACCTAGCACGGGTGTATGTCCTCAAGTCAATTCTTCATTTCCATTTCCATGGCTGTGCACTCTCCCTGAGTGGTGGGTTGGTAGCTTTGTGAGTATATACCATACACTATATCAGCACATCATGATAACGCGTCTCCCTGACAATTCTACGCAGAACTGTTCATACCAGCCTTAGCTGACCTTGATACTACACCCATATTGACTATCATGTGCATGGTCGAACCGAGACATAAGTGGAACATTCTGTCATCCGTGATGTCTTGGTTATTTACAATGCACAGTCTGCCATCGAAGCTGCTAAATATATGTCGACCAGCAAGCCCCACTTCTATACAGTCATTTCGTTCCCTGGCTTTATGTATTTAGTCAGTAACCACCTTACTATCAATATAACATGTAGTAGGTTAGTTAGTTACTTGAGCAAGCACTCATTTGGTAAACAGTCTAAATCACTACTGGCAAAGTCCTCTAACCTAATTAGGATAGGTAAAATGGGACCTCCGAAATATTATTGGGCCAGACTAATGGTCCTAGATAGACCGCCTTTCTATACCGCCTTTCTGTTAAATATACTGCCAACCTCGACAGGCTAGGTTATCTTGAAATTCTTTTACAAAAAAATACGGACCGATTTCTACACAATAAGGGGTCAACATTGCCTCTGATCATTCCTCATAAATCCAGTCACTATCATCGTCACTAGAATACCCCCCAGTATTCGCATCATCATGACTATCATCACTACTGCTCACAATCTCGTTTTCCTTTCTCGGTTTCCTTTTCGTCAAGACTCGAAACCTTTTTCTGACAGCTTCTAGATGCTGCTGGAGCTTTGGATCTTCACAGAAAATCCCGATGACAACCCCTACTCTGTATATTTCTTGGATCTCCGCAATCATCATATCCATCTTTCCTTTCATGCAATTTCTCGGCCGTCCTTTTGGTTTTCGGCGTTTCAAGTGACCGAAAGGCGTGTATACTTGACTGTTTGCGGTAGCGGATTTAGATGGCTGGATAAATGTAAGCCGATGAACAGATATTGCCTAGGAACGGCACAACACCACAAAGACTACGTCAAGGAAGCAAACGAAACGAGGTATCAGTACCTTTCGGGGCCCAGAGAATGTCCTGGGTTGTGCATATTGCACGCCGCGAGGCTGAGCCGCCTTCGAAGCACTCTGGCTTTGAGGTTGAGGTTGAGGAGCCCGACCAAGTTCTTTCGGCAAGTTTGGCTCGTATAATTGCCCTGTCTGAACAAGAGGCGAACAATTATTCATGGAGAACTGGCCACTGCCTGGATCGCTCATGAACGGCCGAGAGGTATGGAGACTAGGGCTCGCTGCGTCACTCGAAAGTCCTGCACCCGTTCCAGTAGTGTCGTTCTTCGCAGGAGAGATACACAACCCTTGTTTAGGCATTGTTAGAGGACCCCCAGGGATATCGAACCAAATTGGTTGTTTGTCTGGAGGCTGTGGAATGGAATCTATTGTGGGACTCCCAGAAGACCGAACAGCATCGCTATCCCATAGCATTGAGAACCCAGATGTGTCCATAGTGCTTGTTAGATCTGTTCTAGGAACCGGACCTAAACCCGAGGAAGCATTTGGAGACATGGGCATGAACTCGAATGGAGTCATGAAAATTCCATCTGGCGCGATAGTCTGCTGCGGACCTGGCAATGCAGTTCCTTGGATATCCTTCTGAGGCCTATTCCGAATACGATCCCCTGTTTAGGTTAGGATCTATTGCCATGGAATACATATGATGAAACTCAACCGCGGAACAACATACTGAATCGACGCTGAGATTCCCTATTTTGTCGTCTCCTCTTTTCGAGCTTGTCTCCATCCGTCCCTGTATCGTGCATTCTGGTGCTGCTCAACTCAAAACTTAAGGCCCGTTTCTCTCAAGGATTTTGTGGGTGTCTGAGAGCATTCCCGATGAGCGGGGATATGTCCATATTAAATTCCTCCCAGGAGACAAGGTATCTAATGGAATTAGCTTCTTAGTCTGTAATGATCTGCCTATCCACCTCGCAAGTCACCTAATTGGTGCCTCTAAAGCGGGGTTCAATAATCCGGCTCGATTCTTCTGTGCCATTATTGCGTACTGTCTGGATATTTCTTACAACAGTCTATATCGGGATTCGGTGGGAATCACTTACCTCCAGCCATATTTGACATTTTTTTGCATTAACAGCCTGGTCGACCATAAATTATGTCTTCCAACAACTGAGCTGTAAATAGTTGAGCAAAAACGAGTGTAGCTGACGTATGACTTATTTCTGCCCTGGTAGTAGTGGCTAGCCCTGCCGCCGGAGATGACGGAGACTGTCACTCTAGTCACGCCATGAACTTGAGTGAATGTTTTGTTTTGTTTTGAATAGATTAATCACATTCTACGAGTCATGAGCTGAATTAGAACTCCCAACTATGACCAGGGACCAGGGACCAGGGTTGCACAGTTGTATGGATATGGTTTAGCTCGACTATTGAGTGGTAAGTGACTTTTAGTCAAAAAAAAAGAACATTGGAACTAAAGCGCGACCCCGGTCTTACGGGCGTTTGGTTTGAATTCTGCTATGAGCTAATACTATAGGAAAGTTGTTCTAAGATTGAATTCATGTTCAGGCTTACAGCTCGTAGGATCAGCCACAGATTGAATATAGTAGACAAGATAAATGTAACAGAATGAACAAATAGCGTCCGAGGTATACCGGCCTACCAAAATCAAATATTCAGCCGTAAAAGCACGCGACGGGATTCATCCGGACTCCGGTCCTAATCTAACCTACTCAAAAGCTATTCAAATTGGACGTACTTAGGTCGAGTGGAGCTTGGTCCGGCGGCCCCGCGCACGGGCCCCATAATCGTGTGGAAAAATATGGTTTGGTGCCTACACCTCGTCTTCGCCTTAGGTGAACGGTTACGGCATTCCCAAAAATGGTCTGATGCAATGTGAATGAAGATGAAGATAGCTAATAGTGATTTTGATTGAAATGCGGAGGAACAACTGACTCCGTACTCTTCCTCGAAACACGCACTCGGATAGATAGGTCTAGGCTTTGTTCCTTGATTAGCGCACACAGGTTGTCTGCGAATTATAAACTGGCTGATAATCTTAACTAACTAGGTACTAGAAGGTAAACCGACTGTTGGAACGGGGCACTACATGCAACTAACTAACCGGCCCCTTGAAATTCTTTTACCAAAAATACGGACCCTCGCATGCGGGGTCTGCCACCCATCATGACCCATGTAGTGGGGAGCAACCAGAAGGAGGTTACCTACGCGCCCAGCATAGAATATCAACTCTCAAGGCGTCCCTGAAACTTAGACTCAAATTTTGATAATGCATTAGGATATCGTAGAATATTAGTGCCGTACTTACAATGAAAGATCTTAATGTGAGAAAAATGAGCATTTAGACCCTACCAGAACTCGACCAATGTATGCACGCCTCAAGCCACAGCTTGGCAGTAATAACAATACCAGGCATTATCAAATATACTGCTAGTATATACCGGCTTCCAAATTAGGAGGTTGAGAGCACCTAATTTTCAACTTCCGGGGGATCCCAACCTGATTGCGGAGCGAAGCGACGTACGTACGTACATGTCACGTGGCCAAGTTTTCTCAGGGGGCCAGAAATAATAGCGTTCTAATGGGCCATCATGTGATCGTCAGTCGCTTCGCTCTGCAACGACTATCTCGCAGGCCGTCGAGATCACTCGTAACATCATATTAAAATCAATGTATGGATTTGTGAAAATACTGTTTTTTATTTGGTGGCATGCATGCATTAGTGAAGTTCTCCGCCGGGCTGTCGTGGTAGGGTATGTATCTTTTGTATGGTCTGTCTATGTTGTACGGAGTAGTAAAGATACACCTCGCTTGTGAGAGTCCGTATTTTTGGTAAAGAAGGTTCAAGGGGCCCGGCGAGAGAGAGGAATGGTGAATTACTTACTCCGTACTCCGTACTCCAGTTATGTATTAGGAATAAGTCCGCTTCCTGAGTTTCTAGTACTGCCGTCCCGATTGGGTGCGACGAGCAGTACTCCGTACAGAGTTTTCTGTCATATTCTGCCCACTTCCGGCTTACATAGTAGAAAGAAATGCATTTTTAATGGCGATGACTACGAAGTGTCTTAATGAGAGAAACAACTTGCGTAGTATTCGACTGATGATGGCGGACAAGGAGAGGAGGAAAAGGTACCTAATCTAGATATGGGATCTGGACCCACTTGGTGTCCGCCTTGCTGGACACCCAACAATTTTGATCAGAAAAAATCGGATACTTTACTTGATTCCTATAGGACTTAACCCCTTGATAATGAAGCAGTTAACGATGAAGTCTTTGACGATAAAGCAGTTGATGTGATAAAAGCGATCTAGTTTTGACTACCCCACCCATACATATCAACGGGACCCTACCGCCATATCTCAACCAATCCCCCGGTGACAACATAAACATTCCAATTTGTTGGACATGGTGGTCACCTGACCATCAGCCCGGTGCGGCAGACCCCAACCCCCATAACTAGATAGTCGGGCATTCTGCCCTTTAGGAATTGACAACTCTCTCCCTCTTTCATCGCATCACTACACTGTAGTCACATCACAATTTGATCACTCGCTCCAAAGTCCAATTGTGTTATCCCTCTTATTCAGCAAATTCCAACACATGAAGTATTTTGAAAAGTTGGAGACTTCGAGCCTCGTGACACGAGAGAGGATTTGAAGGTATCTTCCTAAAATGACTCCCCACGCGCGATGATAGGACCGTCACTGGGCTCACGGGCGATGATGGGGCCGTCACTGGGCTCGCGGGCGATGATGGGGCCGTCACTGGGCTCCCGAGCAATGAGAGGATGGCTCAAAATATCGCGAGCCGCCGAATTGGGTAGAGTAGGTGAGGCCATGACAGGCAATGCGAGGAGTAAAGCTCCAAGCCAGGGAACGGCTATTATCGAGATCTTCATATTGAAATTCCTTTGGCAATATTGAATTCCTAAGATATTCTGGAACGAAGTAGGATAAATAAGGCTGCAATAACTCTCTTTGGCTTTTAGTTGAGAGTCGAATTTGCAAAGAGTTGCAAATTATATAAAGAATGCTTCATGGCGTTACCTGGGCTTTGGAATAAAAATCCAATATTACTGATGACTGTGGGGTGAGCGTAATCAATGGAAATATCGAATTGCGTGCTAGGGGTGACCTCCAATCTTGAAAATGGAGACTTCTATAAGCCTGCAGATGTATTGGCCAATTGGGCCAGCCTTCATGGTTGATTGATTACCTGCAAGCTTATCTGCAGTCTGAGCTGAGCTGACCTAGGCCTTAATACAGTAATCTTGAAGCGGAAAGGGTATGGAGGTTCAAAGGGAGAGGCACCAAGATTAATCGAGGGAGAAACCCAATGATTCTGTATCAGCGCGGAATATTACCCATATATTATATTTTGAAAGAAAACAAAAATGGGTCGAAAGCAGGTTTTGTCGATTCCCGCTGTACGGAACCTCGCTGGTCTAGCGGCATTCCTCATTATTCTATTGAATTTGTTCGGCAACTACCTGTTCGGGAGCCTGAAATATACTGCTCAACGTAGCCTTTTGAAAGCCAACCTTGAACCACTGAATGAAACTCTCGGGGTATGTCACTCCTAACCACGCTTGGGGATCCTCAAAATTACCAAAACTGCTTACACAATATTACAGTTCGAAAGGATTGCGGTTGTATCATCGGGAACATCTTGGAGACTACATGGCCTCGTCGAGGCAACCGAATTCACCAATCTTTACATTGACGTGCCATCCCAGCCTGTTTGGACGGATACTGAAGTTGACGAGTTTCGTGGTTATCGGGTCCATGGCCGGCATGGGGAGCTTGGCCCAGGACAGGCACGGTGTTGGTTAGGCCATCTGAATATATGGCGGCAAATGCTGTTGCAAAAGTGGTCCACCGCTTTGATTATGGAGGATGACGCAGACTGGGATATTGCTATCAAGCAGCAGTTGCTTCGAGTCGCACCCCTCATCCAAGAAGTGACGGGAGCCACGGACTGGTCGTCACCTTACGGAAACTCGTGGGACCTCCTTTGGCTTGGCCACTGCGGCGACTATATCCCCTTGCAACTAGCATCATTTGTAGATGAGACGCTTCCAGGATCACCAATGTACCGTGAGAATGATGGGAGATTCACCGAGTTTCCTCATCAGCAGAGGATGGTTCACATGTCTGTCGGCCCGATATGCACATACGCATATGCGCTCACTGCTTCGGCTGCGTCGAAACTCTATCAACTTTCCAGCTCCGGTATGGATAAACTGATCACTACGCATTTGCGAGAATGGTGCCAGGAAGGATTCTTGAAATGTGTCACGGTAAACCCGGAGCTCTTTCACCATCACAAACAGGCCGGTGAGATTTCAAGTGAGATTGGAGTTGTCGAAGGCTGGGAGAATCGATCGGCAGTTGACTTTACGCCTAATATACGATACAGTGCGCGATGCAGTAGCAAGAAAAAGAGGCCCGCGGCCTGCCAACTCGAATTTGATCCAGTTTGATCAAGGGTGATTGGCAAGCAGAATGGTACAGGTTACGGTTCCAAATATAGCCATGTATAAAGATGTATTTGGGTGTTCACTATCTCCTATGTAGTTTGTAGGTCTCTCTTTCGGTCTCCTTAGGTCTCGGTGAGGTCTCGTTAACTAGTTAACGTAATCGGTAAGCGAGTGGATCAGGCAATGCAACCTATTGAATTCAAATACATTTATCTCGACCACAACGCCATTAAATTAAATAAACTATAATCATTATCTATCTGGACATATCTCTCTTCTATGTCCTGGCTGCCTATATATTCCATACGCTCGCCCGGCCAGGGGAGGTGGTTTATAACGGATAAAGGTCCGTATAAGAGGAAAACATATGTAAGCCTATATAGGCTCAGGAAGGAACATCTTTATTATTATATATCTATTCTGATATCGATCCGTAAGGGGTTCGTTATATGAATATAGGCAGATAGATTTCCTTATAGTTCTGGACCCCCTAGGGGCCCCTTCGAGACTAGTAAGAATGTAAAGGTATACGTTATGCAGGTGTACGGCCTGTCAACCGGGTAAGATACAAAGGGCTTTGTAGAGGGAATACAATGTATTGATGGTATGCCAAGACTAATTCTTACCAGTCTCGGAGGGGCCCCTAGGGGGTCCTAAACTATAAGGAAATCTATCTACCTATATTTATATAACGAACCCCTTATAGATCAATATCGAAATAGATATATAATAATATAGATATTCCTTTCTAAGCCTATATAGGTTTATATATATTTCCTTCTTATATAGACCTTTATCTATTATAATTATCTCTCCCTCCCTATATAGATATCCTTATCTATATATAAATAGAAATATTAAAGGATAAAAGGATAAAGAATTAGGGAGGTATTAGGGAGTTTCTATAATAAAGAAAGTAAAGTAGTAGATATATTAAAGAAGATAAGGTAGTATATAATAATTTAAAGAGAAGGTAACTAATAAGGTATATACTTTATATTTTATACTTCTTTTATAAGGGTAGCTGTTAGGACTAGCTACCAGTGTATCCTGAAAATGGAGGTTCGAATTAGAGTGGAGGTCCCTAGTGTAGGTCATACAATTCAGTAGACTAATCGCTAAGGTTCTAAATCTCATATACGCGGTATATATATACCCCTAGCGCTTACTTAGTAAGTATATCGGCCTATATAGGCCAGTTATATAAGTAACCCTCGGGGTCGTAATATTACCCCCCTCCTTTATAAGCTATATCCTCAAAGCTCTTAGTATTTCCTTTAAGAGGTACTTCTTTAAATATATATTCTTTATCTTAGTATAGCGACCTCTTTACTAGAAAATGCGTTATAATAGTAACTCCTAACTTCCTCTTCTACCCTCTGCTATATCTAACTATAACCCTTAGGTCTTTACTAGGAATCCTACTATAGCCTAGTATATATAATATATAAATTGGATTAATACTAATTATATATATATCTATATATCTTATATAGGATCTTAGGGTACTAAATATACCTATTATATAAGCCTTTAGTAGGTTTATATTATAGTATAGAGGTCCTACTTCTTTATATAGGGTATTACTAACCTATTAGGTTAATCTATACCTAGATATAATTATAAATTAGGCTATCCTAATATCTTCTATAACTAGATCTTAGTAATATACTCGAAAAGACCTAATTAACTATTTCTATAATATATAGCTAGCGCTTATATAATCTATTTCCTATAGGCTTATATTCCCTAATATACCTACCCTTAAGCTATTACTACTATTAGTTAAATAGTTATTCCTTCCTTTAGTTCCTCTACTATCTTCTCTATAGGTCCCTATACCTTACTTAATATATTTCTAGTAGTCTATTATACCCTAGGTATAGGCTCTTATATAGAATACTATTATAGCTTAAATAGTAATCCTAGGATTTATAGGAAGTATAGTAATATAAGAAAGGAATTATTAACCTTTAATCCTTTAGGTAATAATATATCCTTTACTATAATACTTAGGCCTTATTTCTATATATCCTTAGTTAATAGCCTATTTATAGTAGTAGCTATAATATCTTTATATACTATATTATCTTTAGGCTATTTATACTAGACTCTTAGTCCTACCTCTTATACCTACTATTATATACCTTCTATATTATATTCCTACTAATATATACTACTTCTTATAGTATCTTTATAGTCTTAGTTTATCTTCTTTTTCTTTATAGGTTACTTCCTTTTAGCTTTTATAGGTAGTCTTATATACTTTTCTTTTTTAAACTAATCTAATATAGTAGTTTCTTCTATATATACCTAAAGTTCCTATATATTCTTAGTATCTCTATAGCCTTTTTATTTAACTAGATATTCTATCCCTTTATAGTAGCTTTTAAGGATATATTCTATAATATATTCTAGTTCTCTATTAACTATAATAAGGTCTAATCTCTCTTAGTCTATCTATAAGTTACCTTTAAAAGGTTTTAATAAGGATATATATTATATAGGATATATCCTATAGTACCTAGGTAGTAAGATTAATTAGTAGGCTTACTTCCCTACTATTCCTATAACCTAGAAGGGTCCTATATAGTAGTAGTCTAGTTTCTTATAAGGTCTCCTTAAGTTAATATATATATTCTTTATTAGGACCTAGTCCCCTATTATAAAGGTTTTATTAATATACTTCTTATTATATAATTTCTTTATAACCTCTTTTAACTTTTCTAGGTATATTCTTAGATCTATTTATATTTCCTCTATATCTTTAATATATTATATTATATCCTTATAAAGATCTATTAAATCCTTTTATACTAAGGTATAAAGGTCTAGGTTAAAGCCTAATAGAGCCTTTATAGATACTATACCTAAAATACTATAGGTAGAGTTATTATAGATAAACTATATTAGTAGTAGTTAGTATACCTAGTTATCTTAGTATTAATTAATATATCCTCTTAGGTAGTACTCTATATTCTAATTTTATCTTTCTATTTATCTATTTATCTATAGGTAGTAAGTAGTTAATAACTAGTACCTTATAGTAAGGAAGAAGTAGAATAATAACTAGAATTTACTTATAAATACTATACCTTAGTTATTTATAAGGTTTCTTAGTATTCTAAAGAGAGGTATAATATATTTATAGAATAAGGTTATAAGTCTATCTACTTCTATATCCTTTATATAAGGAATATATAGTAAGTACTTTATAAATATATTAACTATAATTATAAGTATATTATAGACCTTATCCTACTACTTTATAAGGAGTAACCCTATAATAAAGTTAATACTTATTTATTTAATAGGTCTCTATAGTATTAGTAATAGTTCTAATAGACTATATAGCTTATAGTAGTATACTATATTTAGCTAGTAGGTTAAATAGTTATTTATATATTCCTTAATAGATTTATATATATCCTACTACTAGTATTTTATTATAATAGCCTCCTTTATATACTAAGCTTAATAGTAGCCTACTTAGGGATTATTATAGTAAATATATATAATCTTAGCGATTAGTATAGGTTCCTATAGGATATAGACCTTACTATTATATCTAAGTAGACTATTATCTAGCCTTATACTCTAGGCTATACCTTCTAGGCAGCTACCCTAGCTCTATTAGTCTATCTCTATAAGTTTCTTCTATACTAAGGTATCTCTTATCTATACCTTATATATAAAGTCCCTTATAGACTCCTAGGGTTTAGGATAGAGTAATATCTTACCTATAAGGGCTTCCTTAGCCTCCTTTTATATTATAAGTATATATAGGGAGCTACTAATATCTTCTATACCTAATCCTATAGCTAGACATCGGCAAAGCCCACCCAGCCCATAGCCCAGCCTAGCCCAGCCCACCAATGGGCTGGGCTTTGGGCTGACTTCTTCGGCCTATACTAAATTATGGGCTGATACCCTAGGCCCATAGCCCACAATGGGGGCCCATATGGGCCTTATATAATACAGTGATCTACCTATATAATTAATGCAATTTTAGGCCTATATTCTTATTACAGCGCTCTCGTCCAATTATAATTCATACATATACTAAGCATATGCCTAGCATAGTTACTAATATATATTTAATAATATATCTCTGCGATATTCTGATATATATATTTCTACTATACGAATGATCATCTATAAACATTTAATAATTTGTCTGATCTCTGTATAATGCAAATTCGTCTGATCTCTGTATAATGCAAAATCGTCTGATCTCTATATAATGTAAATTCGTCTGATCTCTGTATAATGCAAATTCGTCTGATCTCTATACAATGTAAATTGGTCCTAACTTATTCGTATAATTATACTATAACTAGCAATAAATTACGGTCGCATTTAATCAGTTAGATACTCTCTACTATCTAGTATTTAAATCCTGTTTTTAGAATTAAATTATCTTAATTATTGGTGGTAGTTAAATTGATTAGACCAATTTGTATTATACAGAGATTAGACGAATTTACATTATACAGAGATCAGACGAATTTACATTATATAGAGATTAGACCAATTTGCATTATACA